TCCACTGGCTCAGGAGGTGTATAACGAGTTGGGTCTGATCCAGCCCATGCAGATTCAGGAATCATCCATAGGAATGTGCACATTTCTGAAAAACAAATCACTTCATTCCTTTTGGCATTTGGCTGAAGCCCACAGGGTATGATAATGCTTTACCTAAGACATGAGCCCACCAATGCTGACCCTAATGGGATAAACAAATCAAGAAAGGGTGAATCACATCTACCACAAAGTAGGGACCTTCCCACCGAGATACTGGGAAGGCATGGGGTTCATGATGCCAGATGTGAGAAGAAACAGGAGGATCAGGAGTGGCTCGAGTAAATGAACCTTTTTATTGTAGATACTCCTTCATCCTGGATCCCCAACACCACGTTCTGAGTGAGCAGTGATTTGGCACCAGTTACACTCCCTTATCCATTTTAGTATGTTAATTCATATCTCTCACTACTTCCCCAGAATCCTTATTTAGTAATGTTAACACCTATATAATGAATATTAATTAGCAGGTGATTAATATTATTATACCTGCTGCTGTTAACAGGATTTTGAATTAGATCAATACTTTTCTACATTACATAGTTCCCGAATCAGCAGGTTACACAGATTAAAGGATGTGACTCTGGAAGTATTTTTACAGAGCAAGTGAGAATAAACAAAAGACAAAACAAAGAGGACACTGTTTAGTGCAACCATCTTTCAAAGTTGCAGGTACCTGTGGAAAGAGCATTTTATACATCAGAAGGGACAATACGTGCTCTGTCCAGACCCTTATCTCTCTTTCCTGGCTGCAAGGATGAAGGGGGAAAAATACGACAATGCCTGCTCTGGCAAGACCCCTACCACTATTATATTGCCTTTTCAGACCCCTGTTAATTCTTACATATCCCAACAGAATCTGTGATAGTTCTCTGAAAACATCTGATCCATATGCAGTAGCAATCAAAAAAAACTAACAATATTAGGAACTGTTAGGAAAGGGATAGTGATACAGAAAATATCATAATGCCATATAGAAGTCCATGAAATGCTTGCACCTTGAATACTGCATGCAGTTCTGATTACTCCATCGCAGGAAAAAATATTAGAGTTTAAAAAAGGTACACGGGAAGGCAACAAAACTGATTAGGGATGTGGAAGAGCTTCCACAAGAGAAGAGAAAATGCATGAGAACTGTTTAACTTAGAAAACAGAGAACTAGGATGCATATAAATAGAGGTTTGTAAAATCATGAATGGGAACAGAATGAACAGAGAAGTGTTAACCACGTCACATAACAGAAGAACTAGGCATCAATGAAATTAATATGCAGGAGGTTTAAAACAAATGTAAGGAAGTACCTTTTTTTTCACACAAGGCACACTTAACTTCTGTGGAGTCCTTTGCCAGGACATGCTGTGAAGTCCAAAAGTATAAGCTGGTTTAAAAGTGCATTAGATAAATTAATGGGGGGATGTGCTGATCCATCAATAGTTATTAGCCAAGATGATCAGAGACAAACCCATGCTCTGGATATCCATAAACTGGACAAGAGGGGATGGATCACTTGATAATAGGGATGTTAGCTAACAATGAATTTACAAGTTGAGTAGTCGATGGAATTTACATCCACTACTCTACTAGTTGTTAGGTACTTCCGCATACCTCCTTTGAAATATACAAGAGCCCCTATTGGGGCTCTTGTACGTTTCAAAGGAGGAATGTGGAACTTCGCATGCAGCCCATGGCAGCAGGAAGTCTCGCTGACTCCGGGTTGCATGGTGCCAGCTTTGAAATGCTACATGGAGCCGGGGGTCATCTGGAGACTCCCCACCTGATCCTGGATTCGGTGCAGCATTTCCCCAGAACCCACAGTCTGCTGGGGACTCGCTGGCTGATCCTGGGCTCCATGTGGTGCTGCTTTGAAACTCCATAGTGGCCTGGGTATGGGCTCTGTGTGGCACTGCTGCTTTGAAGTACCCTCTCTTCTGCCCCGCCCCCCTTTTTGCTGCCTGTGTCTGGTAGAGGCAACAGAGGGGGTGGAAATCGATTTATCAGATAGTCAATTAGTCCTTAACATCCTTATTTGATGATTGCTCTGTTGTTTTCATTCATTCTGAAACATCTGGCACTGGCCACTGTTGGAAGACAGGATAGTGGGCTAGATGGACCATTGGTCTGGCCATTATTCTGTATGCTGTGTATGAAATGGACAAGGGTGTAAGAGGAATTTTTCATGCAAGGGGATACTGCTTACACATTATTGAGATTTATTACACTGTATGCACGGTGGGCTTCCTCCTTAAAATTCATAGAATCATAGAACACTATGGAAGGGACCTCAAGAGGTCATCGAGTCCAGTCCCCTTCCCTCACAGCAGGACCCAGTACTATCTAGACCATCCCCGATAGACATTTATCTAACCTACTCTTAAATATCTCCAGAGATGGAGATTCCACAACCTCCCTGGGCAATTTATTCCAGTGTTTAACCACCCTGACAGTTAGGAAGTTTTTCCTAATGTTCAACTTAAACCTCCCTTGCTGCAGTTTAAGTCCATTGCTTCTTGTTCTATCCTCAGAGGCCAGGAAGAACAATTTCCCCCCCTCCTCCTTATGACACCCTTTTAGATACCTGAAAACTGCTATCCTGTCCCCTCTCAATCTTCTCTTTTCCAAACTAACCAAGCCCAATTCTTTCAGCCTTTCTTCACAGGTTCTCTAGACCTTTAATTATTCTTGTTGCTCTTCGCTGGACCGTCTCCAATTTTTCTACATTTTTCTTGAAATGTGAACCCAGAACTGGACACAATACTTCAACTGAGGCCTAATCAGCGCAGAGTAGAGCGGAAGAGTGACTTCTCGTGTCTTGCTCACAACACACCTGTTAATGCATCCTAGAATCATGTTTGCTTTTTTTGTAACAGCATCACACTGACTCATATTTAGCTTGTGGTCCACTATAACCCCTAGAACCTTTTCTGCCATACTCCTTCCTAGACAGTCACTTCCCATTCTGTATGTGTGAAACTGATTGTTCCTTCCTAGGTGGAACACTTTGCATTTGTCCTTATTGAACTTCATCCTGTTTATCTCAGAACATTTCTCCAGTTTGTCCAGATCATTTTGAATTATGACCCTATCCTCCAAAGCAGATGCAACCCCTCCCAGCTTGGTATCATCTGCAAACTTAATAAGCGTACTCTCTATGCCGATATCTAAATAGTTGATGAAGATATTGAACAGAACCGGTCCCAAAACAGACACCTGTGGAACCCCACTTGTTATGCCTTTCCAGCAGGATTGCAAACCATTAACTGAGCTATGTCTAGACTGCAAGCCTCTTTCGAAAGAGGCTCTTTCGAAAGAGAGCATCTACACTGCACGTGGAATTTCGAAAAAGCAAGCTGCTTTTTCGAAAGAAAGCACCCAGTGAGTCTGGATGCTCTCTTTCTAAAAAGCCTGTTTGCTTTCAAGAACGCCTTCTTTCGAAAGAGCACTTTCGAAAGAAGGCGTTCTTCCTCGTGGAATTAGGTTTACCACCGTCGAAAGAAAAGCCGCATTCTTTTGATTTAATTTCGAAAGAACGCGGCTGCAGTCTAGACGCAGGTGAAGTTTTTTCGAAAAAAGGCTACTTTTTTCGAAAAAAACCCTGAGTCTGGACACAGCCCTGCTGTCTGCGAACAGTTATCCAGCCAGTTGTGCACTCACCTTATAGTAGCCCCATCTGTTGTATTTGCCTAGTTTATTGATAAGAATATCATGCAAGACCGTATCAAATGCCACAAGACTTGTTATCCTATCAAAGAAAGCTATCAGACTGGTTTGACATGATTTGTTCTTTACAAATCCATGCTGGCTGTTCCCTATCACCTTATCATCTTCCAAGTTTTTGCAGATGATTTCCTTAATTGCTCCATTAACTTTCCTGGCACAGAAGTTAAACTGACTGGTCTGTAGTTTTCTGGGTTATTTCCGTTTTTATAGATAGGCACTATATTTGCCCTTTTCCAGTCTTTTGGAATCTCTCCAATCTTCCATGATTTTCCAAAGATGATATCTAAAGGCTCAGATACCTCCTCTATCAGCTCCTTGAGTATTCTAGGGTGTATTTCATCAGGCCCTGGTGACTTGCAGACGTTTAACTTTTCTAAGTTATTTTTAACTTGTTCTTTTTTTACTTTATCTTCTAAACCTATCCCCTTCCCACTATCATTCACTGTTAGGCATTCCTTCATCAGATTTCTTGGTGAAGACTGAAACAAAGAAGTCATCTCTGCCATTTCCAAGTTTCCCGTTATTGTTTCTCCCTCATCACTGAGCAAGGGTCTTCCTCTTGTTTGGTCTTCCTCTTGCTTCTAAGTTCTAAACTGTGTGCTGTGCACGTCTTGTGCTCATCTGTAGTTCTCCCCAGCCTCTGCCTATGGATCACATTTTCCATATACTGAGTGTGCTGTTCCTGATGCCTCAGGCTGGCATCTGAAGTGACTTGCTACTGACAGCAGGAAAGGGCCCAATTTAATAAAGCAAAGGGAAAATGAGATAGGACTGAGTTCACTAGTAATAGCATTCTAGCAAGATAGTATGTGACCTACCTAATAAAATAAACTCATAAAAGGCTCTTCAACTGCTGGGTTTTTTTTATTTCCTGCCCATTTTTTAAAAATTTGGTCAATTTCTAGTTTTCGGGGGTTAAATATTTTGCAGTGTTTCAGCTGAATTTTAAAGAAAATCAAAGTTTGTGCGCCACTTTTCAGTTGCTAATCTTGTATTATTTTGCAATGGGAAATTTGTCACAAATGATAAGGAATAAACTGTATTTCCAACGAATGAATGGTGGGTTGCTTCTTGTTACATCTCACAGATGTTCTTAGAAAAAATTATGTTGACTTCCAAACAGCATAGTCTTCTAAGTTTTATTAAAATTGATTTGAAAGTGGGTTTTATGGCCCAAAACACTTCCTGAGCCATAAAATGACTTCCAACAGTAGAAGAGTGAATTAGACACTATTTTCCTTTTCCAGAATAAAGAATTTCTACAAGAAAAGATGTTGCAGAGAGCACCAACAATCACTGAAAGAGCTAAAAAGGTACCAAGATGCAAATGGATAGTGACTACCATTGTTTAACAGGGGTGTCACAATGCTGCTAGTTTTTTTTTTTTTATTTCATTATGCTCAACAGTTTTTGGACTAATTCTTAGTTAGCATTGTGCTATTCTAATGTCTTCTAGATACAATCTTGCTGATCCCTTTTTAGTTCCTCTTAGAATCCCAGCTGACAACTTAGATGTTTGGACACTTTTTTCCGAAAAAGACCATTTGAATTATCTGCTTCATACAACATTTTGTTTGTGTCTCTGCCTAATAGGTCCGGAGGGTCCCAGGTTCTAGTGGGCGTCTTCATAAGACTGAAGATGGTGGCTGGGAGTGGAGTGATGACGAATTAGATGAAGAAAGTGAGGAAGGCAGAGCAGCAATTTCACAGCTCAGGGTGAGCCCTTGGATTCTTCAGCAATTGTATTGTGTATCACAGTAGTGCCAAAATGTTCCAGTTGGCTTTGGGACCCCATTCTGAGATTTGCTAAACATACACAGTGCAACAGCCACTTCCTTGGCGAGCTTACGGTTTAACCAGACATGAGACAGGATGGGAGAAGTCATATTACCCCAGTTTTACAGAGGACATACTAAGGCACAGCGTTTGTGATTTGTCCCAAGTTGCGTACGAGTTTACTAGACCTGGGAATTTGAATCTGGATTTCCTGGATCCCAGTTCAGTGGATAATAGAAAAATCAGGGATAGTCTTGTGACTTAAAACTCCAGTGGTGTAAACAACCTGAGATTGTTGTTCTAACATTATCTTAAGTACTGGAATGAACTGATTCATGTGGATATTACACATGGTGAGCCGGCTTTTATGCTGGCTCCCCACACTGCTGCCTCTGCTACAGAGGCAGTAGTGCAGGGGTGGGGGAAAAGTGGGTTACACAGTTGATGAAATGCATTTTCACATCCCTAGTTAGAGCCCTGCGTGGGTATAAAGCAGATATCTGCAGAGTTGCTGGGCTATGGTAACAATGAGAGAGACTCCTATCCAGAAGCATGCAAGCTGCTTGCACACACTAGCATGACCAGGGACAGCTGCCGGTGAGCCTGGTTCCCATCAGTGTTCCCTCTGTGTGCAGAATAAATTGTATTTTGTACGTAAGGTATGTGCGAATGTGCACCACGAAAATAAATGCAAACCGAGCTGCGTGTGGTCTGCTAATCAGCTGGGCAGCATTAGAATCTCTTCTGAGCAGCCGCACAAGGAAGGAACACTGGGCCACACCCCAGTTTGCAGGACTGGGGGCAGTACAGACATGCTGCAGGAGCTGACTGGGCTGGGCTCTATCTCCTACAAGCAGCTGCCCAATATGCTGCTGCTTTCGCCACTGGTATTCACGGCTCGATCACTGGCCATTGCTCTGCTGGTCTTTCTCGTTGCTAAATCCCTGCAATTCCATGGGTACCTACCTTATAATTGCAGATGTCTTCATCCATGGATATAAATTTTAATATCTGCGTTGGGCTCTGCCGACCTTTTCAAATCGGAGTAAGTCCAAGGGGGCTTGCCAGCGCGTGCGCACACAATTTGAGACACTATTTTAGACTATAAATCCTTTGTGGCGAGAACTTTCCTGTGTTTGTATAGCGCTTAAGAGTGGTCCAAATCTTTCTGAATGTTGAATAATGATTCCCTTTTACCCTGTCTCCTCCACTTGTTGTCTGACACCTAGAGTCAAGGGACTGCCTTTTAGTAGTTTATAACAGTGTTTCTCAACCTTTTTTTAATAAAGTACCCCCTTTAAAAAAAAAAAAAAGAAAGTACCCCCAGTATCTACAGTTTTCAGACACACACAATTTTTTTCTACCATTGCAACATATTTGTTTAAACAACTTAATTGTAACCAGGCGAGTGATGAAATTTGTGGGAGTAAAAGGTACAAAAATAATAAAGCGCTGTAAAACAAAAATAGTTTTCTCCAAATTTCAGTTGTTGATGTATCCCCAGACATCTCTTGAGTACCCCTGAGTGTACTCATATCACTGGTTGAGAACCACTGGCTTATAAAATTCCTAGCACAGTGAGGCCTTTGAGATTTCTAGGCAAAACTGTAACAGAAATTATAACTAATAGGAAAAGATATTTCCCAAATGTTAAATAAAAGACTATTTATTTGTTCTTTCAACTGTAGATAGGAAAATATGCCTGTCGTCATGCACATTGCTTATGACTTCAACTTTCTAATGTATTGAATGCTTATGATCCCTTTAATATTCTAATTGCTTTACAGACTGGTATGTTGTCCTCTTGAAGAGTTGGAGTGGCTTAAAAACAGATTTTATTGTCTTGGCTCGTTAATGAAATCCAAATCTGATGAATATGTTGTGCTCATTAATACTAGATTTCTCTAGCAATAAAGAACACCAGCATTTCTTCTTATATGCTACTGTGCATAAATCTAAACTGTAAGTTACAAGCTAAGCCATGACAATGCATGTCCAGGGGAGAGTATGGCTAAGGTGGCTGAAAAATTATCTGGTTTGATTGCTGTTGTGCATTTTAATATGTAGATAAAAGTAAAACCAGACTCATGTTTGTTCAGTTAGTGAATATTGCTACGGTTGGGGCAATCCATTGCTAGTCAGTTTTGTTCAACTGCTTATAGTAATTCCTGGTATTTTTTTTCCTTATTTTTTTTCCTTATTAGTCTCCCAGAGTGAAAGAATCTTTACAAAATTCTGAGGTAAGTTGTGCCTTATGGAAGTTGTTGCTCTTCGAATCTGACAACTCCCAATCATTGACACTGACAAGGAACATGCTGTTGATCTCTAAAAATAATATTCGGAAGCTTGAAAGCTAGTTGCTTCCCTAGAAGGTGAATCATTGACTACCGAGACACAGGCCCTTAGCACTAACCTTAACAAACCTTTATAGGGAAATCAGTTGCTATGCTCCCTCTCTGTGGGCATCTTCTCTGACAATTTCCTTGTCAAACAAAGTCCTGAGGATTGTTACTGCTCTTAAGCTTTGAGGCTGAATCCACTCTCCCAAAGTCAGTCAAATTCTTCTTGTTCCTTTCCTCCAAACAGCTCAGTCAAAGGATAGGTCCATTCTGTAATTAAGAACCCGCTGCTGACCTGTGCTGGCTGACTTGGGCTCGGGCTATTCAGTAGATATTCTGATCGGAGCCTGAGCTCTAGAACCCTGGAAGAGGGGCCTGAAAGTCTACATTTCAGTTAAACAGGTCCTTAGTCTGAGCCTTGCGAGCCTATATCAGCTGCCACAGACCAGCTTTTTTTTTTTTTTTTTTTAATTCCAATGTAGACCTACTCAAACTGCCCATTTTACAGGACTGGTCTGACTCATTCTCAGCTACTGCTAAGCCTCTGAGCTAGGCGGTCAGTAGTCCTTTGCTGTTGGTAGTAGACTTTAATGACAGTTAAAAATCTTGTCTCAGAACTCGTAGTCTGCAAATGTTTCCCATCCGTGTTAGTGTCTCTTAGGTATTAGCATATGTTTGGGTGCTGATGGTGTGTGGACTTAACTTGTTTTCTTTGAGACACATGCCAGATATTAAACTAGAATGTTTTGTAGCATTCTGACCAAGTGTAACCTGTCCTGTTCTAATTGCAGTTTGCAACTGAGAACTTGGTTAATTATAGAGAGATTCCCTTTATCTGAGAATGGAGGTCAGAAGATTTTATAGTTGCAATAACTCAAATTTCACCCATCCTTCTCCCCTGCAGAGCTGATTAGGTTTGTTCTTTGCCATCTTTTTGGCCAGCTGGAGTCTAGAACACAAGACCTATGCCTCCAGTACTAATCTTGCTGCTCTTACATGCTTTGAAAGAGCCTGTCCTCTGTTTGCATTACCTCAGAATTGAATGCCAAATTGCTTTGATATCTTAGAACCTGATATCGTATTTGTTGGGAAATAGAGAAATATTTACAAGGATTTAATTCTTGATTGTTCTGTTTCCCCTCTGACACGAAACACAAGCAGTGCAGGAGGCTGATCTATGGGCTTAACAAATGAAGCATGTCAATCATGCTTGTGTTTCAAGAATATGGAGACTACTGCATGTGATTGCATCTTATGGGAACGTGCTCAGTTTTCATTCCTGTGGAGCATTCAGTCGTTCCAGACCAGTACAAGTGTCTTTGTACATAGTAATAGGATGAGCATGTTAGGAGTTAACGGAGGAGGAGGAATCATCTTCTAGAATGAAGCAAAGCTGGGACCCATTCAGAGCTGACTTAGTGGCTTCAGGGGTTGGAAATGTGGTTGGCTGTAAACTCGTTAGTTGTGCTTCTGCAAGCAGGGTCACCGTACGCTTCCTGCCTAACCCCTTGCTTTCAAAGACATTCCCTGTCTCATTGAAGCATCTTGTTGTTGTAGCTGTTCCCACCAGCTGAACCCACAGGTCATTTGCTCCATGTTCCAGCCCAGACAGCTGAACTACCTCAACCTGCAGGACAGACACCTGCCCAGCCTTCTCAAATTGCTGTCCCTCCGTCCGTTCAGATGCCTGCAGCAGCTCTCGCAGCAGGGCAGGTAAGGCTAGAAAACCTTAAGACACATGCTCCGCTTCATAGGAGACCCTCCTTTAAAGCACCAGTCGCATTCAAATTAACTTAAGCCAGGGAAGTTGCTTATGGTGGGTTTTGTCAGCATGGCGAATTGACCACTTAAGTTGAGTAAGAAGAGTAGGCAGGCACCACTGGCTTTAGGGTGCATGTCTTTGCACAGCCCTGCCAGGATCTGCAGCTCCTGGGATCTCAGTTTCTGAACTAAAAGTGGCTCTGAGAGCAGGAAGTGCATTCCTGAGTCTGGGGAAGGATGAAGTAGAGAGGGGAGTGCCTTAGTTAGATCAGCGGATTCTTGCTTAAGGGGATTAAGGAAGAACATTGACAGGGCAGTAAAGCAGGTTCTGGCCAGACCTCTTCAGAGCTTCAGAGCCTCAGTGCTAGAAGGAGGAAACTGGAGGTAGAAGAGAGGGGCCCACCAGGCTCCAAAAGCAATGAAGGATGCATGCATAGAAAAAAGCCTTTATATTACCAAAAGGCTAAAAGAGAAATTGGACTTCTGTGGTTTTGAGTTTGAGCCTGGTTTTTTGATAGGCTCCCATTTGGTGCACAGGAGAATTGGCATGTGAGGAAACGTAAAACCTTTCAAAGTAGCCCAACACATAATTCTGTTCCGTATTGGTTTTAGTGCAAAGCCCAGCCGGGAGAGCCTGCTAGGAGGAAAGAAGTGAACTCTGATTTCTTGGGCTGAAGGGGTGAGAGTGGGGGAATTGCCAAAATAAACCGTTCCGGTGATGTTTGGTACTAGAAAGTTTACCCAGTGTTGTGCAGGTCCTTAATTCAAATAAGTTTTGTTTTTCTTCATTTAAATCATTGCTCTGGGGTGGGGCTGGCCTGAGGGGTTCAGTGTGCAGGCTGCCCTGGGAAGAGAGAGGAGAGCCCCAGCCCTCTCTCACTGCAGCTTCTTGGAGCCAGGAGAGAAACACCTTTCCATGGCCACTGTAGTGGGCACAGCTGTGGGGAAGGGAGTGCATGTCCCCCAGCTGGGAGATAGACACATTCGCAGTGAAGATGTAGCCTTAGAGAGTTTTTTGGCAGAAAATATGCTAATGGGGGACTCATTAGCAGGGCTCAACAATCTCTGTAATCTACTCGCCCATGGCATATAATCAGCCATAATTTAGAAGTGAAAATGAGCACCTTTAGTAATGTTTTAAAGCCTATTTAGTTGTGTATCTTTGAAGCAACCATTCATTCAAGAATACGTATGTCTAAGTAAAGGTAAATACTAATCTGTAAATTCTTCTGATGCACAGTGTCATGGCTCCTTCCCCACTCTGGCATGATAAATGCAGAAGTGGGGGCCAGCAAGTGTACCCCAAAGCCTTATCTACCAGGCTTTGGTATAAAACTTCCCCCCAAGATCTTAAAAACCTAGATCTTGGGAATAAACCTTCCGCTGCCACCACCCAAATGTTGATAAAGAAATCAGGGGAAAGATCATTTGGGAAATCTTACCCCTAAAATAAAAATCAAGGCACCCAATTAACCACTGCCAGGTTAATAAAAAGAAAAGAAAGAACCTTTATTATTACAACAATATTCCTGTTGCAAACATAATGACTAGATAGGGAGGTAACAAAATATACTCATGGAGAAACTCCATGGGCCTAGAACTTAGTTACAAAGAAAAGCCAAAACATCTTTTAAACAGTGCCAGATCTCAGATCCCATACCCAATCCTTAAAACAATAAAACCTAACGAAACTGCCTAAACTTTACCCTACTTACAGAAAATGAAGAATGGTGTCTTGGAGAGAGAGAGAGAGACATGCTTGTCCCTCTCTGTAGCTGCAGAGAACTCACTGAGAGACAAAAGGAGAAAAGAAAAAAAACCCAAATTCCTTTGTCCCAGTTTGAAAAGTCCCACCTACATTCTTATTGGTCTCTCCACCTGGCTAGGTGTAGTTAACCCCTTAATCCCCAGGCTGCTGGTTAACCCTCATAATCATGACACACAGTTCTATGATTTGTGCCTAAAATTGCCTAAATCCTATTGAAAGTTAATGGAGCTTAAGACTCCTAAAAAACTTACAGGACAACTTTTCCAAAAGCATCTATCTTCAAAAAGTCATGAAGCATATCTTAAAGCAGAGGATAGAAGTCTTATTATGTTGTATCAAATCTTAATTTTTCATAGAAATTTTGTCTGGAATGTATATGATAAAAGTACTGAAAAACCTCTTCTGAAGCCTCTAGCCAGTTTCCAGTGTCTCTAAAAGGCAACTACACACCACTATTTGTTCTGGAGACAGAGACAGGATTGTCTTTCTAAATATTACTACCTAGCATAGTTCAATTGTACATTAATATTCTTCTTTGGGTTTTCAGTGTGTTCTCAGCATTAGAGATGTTAAATATTGGTTAATTGAATAGTCAATTAACCTCATGAATTCTTATCAGTTACTCAACTATTCTGTAGTCTCCGGGGGTGGGGCCGGCAGCCAGTGCACTCTGGCTCCACCCCCGAGAAGCCCCCGTGCTACTCCGCACTGTTGCCTCTGCATCAGAGGCAGCAGCATGAGGTGACAGGCAGCCAGTCAGTGAGGTAAGCTGATTTTTAAACTCCCTCTGATACAGAGGCAGCAGCGCGGGATGGCAGCAGTCCCTGTCTTGGGTGGGAATGACCCTACTCTTTAGCAAAAGGGGCATGCTGGCAGCACAGGTCTGGGTGAGGCACTGTGTGTCTGACAACTTCCACTTTGTGAATGCTGGCCTGGGCAGAGCAGGGCTGCCCCTAGCTGGCCCCTTGCTCTTGGGACTGATCTCCCTGTGCTATGGTCCATTGCCCCCCTGGAAGCCCACAAAAATGTTTGGCTGTGGCCTACAGAAAGTTAATCCAGCCCTGACTCTGCCCATGGGCTCTGGAGGCTTCTCTCCCACCGGGAGCCCTGTATGTGCAGGATTAAGCCCTGCTATTCCCATCTTGAGCCCCACCACTCGTGGCATGGAAGGTGGGAGGGAGCATAGATCCAGGCTTCAGTGGGGTGTGTTTGCTGGGTATTCAGGGGACAATGCGAATCAGGGCTTTAGATGGGGGTGTTGATTGCTGGGAGTTGAGCCCTGTGGAGGTAGGGGGGGGGGGTGCTGTAGATTGGGGCTTCAACCCCACAGAAGAGTGGAGGGGAAGGGGTTTGCCAGCATTCGGAGCTTCATCCTCTTGGCTTGAGCTGTGTCTGCCCTGACTGCAGCCTGAACAGACCAGCAGGGGAAATATGGGACAATTTGCCTGTTGTTGTTTTTTTTAAGACAGGATACCTGGAGAGAGCTTAAGTAAGAGGCTGTCCCATTAAAAATGGGACAGATCGTTGCCCTAAAACTAATCCAATCCCATTTTAGGCACCACCTGCCCCTGCTGTTGCACCAGTTCAGGAGGATGTAAAAGTCCCCATCAGTCTCGTGCTAAGGTTAAGGTAAGTGTGCTGGTACGGGACTGGCGGAAAGCAAGCCAGTGTGAAGTGTTATTTGGGGGCTAGGCTGCTTAGCTAGGGAGCTCTGGAAATGGAATCCTGGATTTGTCACTGAAGCTTTGTTTCCTGTCATAAATGTAACCCATTTTCTCCATCTGTAAGACGGGAATAACTTTACCTACCTACCTCAAAGGGATGCTGTGAGGATAACTGTAGAGTGTTCAAGCAGCGTCATTAATTTCATAGATCACTATGACTTCTCCCTTGTTGCACTGAAGGGATGGGGAACATACATGTACTCCAGCTTAGTTACCACCCGATGCTCCTAATGGGGACCCAAATCTAGCAATGTTTGGCCATTAGGCTGGTGAGGGCATGTGGAAAGCCAGGAGACCCAAACTCTTCTATTCAATTGGAGCTTTGCAAATTGTATGTCCTGAAAGGTATCAGGCTTGGAGTAAAACGTACTAAACTGTGTGCAGTAGGCATAAGAACAGCCATACTGGGTCAGACCAGAGGTTCATCTAGCCCAGTATCCTGTCTGCCAACGTTGGCCAATACCAGATGCCTCAGAGGGAGGGATCACGACAAGTAATCCTCACGTGATCCCTCCCCTGTCACCCACTTCCAGAGAAACAGAGGGTAGAGACACCATTCCTACCCATCCTGGCTAATAGATTCATGGAGGTTAGGTCCATCAATGGCTATCTAGCTCTTTTTTGAACGCTGTTAAAGTTCTAGCCTTCACTGTATCCTCTGGCAAGGAGTTCCACAGGTTGACTGTGCACTGCATGAAGAAAAACTTCCTTTTGTTTGTTTTAAACCTGCTGCCTATTAATTTCATTTGGTACGAATAAATTATCCCTGTTGTCCACTCTCCGGGGATCATAAGTTGTTTAAAACAATAAAAATCACATACAGTCACTGATCTCTTGTGGGCTTGCTCACTAGAATGGCATCCTGTGTTGGCCTTGCTGGGAGTGTCTCCTTGAGTAGCAGCCAGAAGTTTGCACCAAGGAGCTGGTACTGCTCTACTGAATGCTCTTCTGCTGTGCTTTCTTAAGCACAACGTGTTTAGCTAATTTTGTGGGGGCCTCCTTTGTAAAATTCCATGTGTAAGAATCTCCACTTGCGAGGGACAGCTTGCCACTGTGTACAATGCCCTTTTGTAGTTAGAGACCAGAAAGAGAAGACAGTTATTAATTGGCAAATTCAGCTGTTCCATTACAGAAACTTCCACTTGCAGGTGTTGACTGAAGAGTCCCTTCATTGAGTGCTGGGAGAAGAATGATCTTGTAGTTAAGGCACGAGATTGGGTGCTGAAACTTGGGTCTGCCACCAGACTTCCTAGGCTAGTTAATCCCTTTGCCTCAGTTCCACCATGGCAAAATGAGGGTACATCTCTGCCCTGCAAGGATGCTTCAGGGATAAATCCATTAATGTTCGCAAGGTGATCAGATACTGGTGGGGTTGAGAGCGGCTCTTATGTACCTGGACAGATGGGCCTTATGTATCCTGAGTATCAGCAAGCACAGGCTCTGTCAAACCAATAGAAAAAATAGGTGGCCCTCCTTGAGAGCTTTGATTTCAGATGCAAATCCAGGGACACCTCTGTGCATCCCCATTGGGACAGCTGGTATTTGAAAAGGACTTTTTAAAACTGACTTTTGAATGACTCCCCTTCAACTAGAACACTGGAATCCCCAAGTGATCTGAAATGAACCTTGTCATACATTTGCTTTTTCATTTTAATTTGTTAAAACTGTGTATTCTTACCACAGGAATTCAAAGAAAGAACTTAATGATATCCGGTTTGAATTTACCCCAGGGAGAGGTGAGGCATTGTGGAAATTACCAAACTGTTTTTTGAAAAATATTTGGCAAAAATTTAAGTGGAGACTGTATGGGGATCCCAGCAAAGTGTCAGCTGGAGGCATGTGGTCTACTGGCGTGTATTTGCTCCACTCATTAAATGTTTGATATGCCCAGAACCAAGTGCCTGGCTCGCGCTTTCATGGAATGGCTGTGCTGAGGCAATCTAACCCTAAGAAAGCCAGCAAGGGGGAGGGCGGCTGGGCTAGGATGCAGTCCTCAGGCCCTGTCCAGTGTGGTCCACAGCCTCCAGTTTGTAAGTCACAACATGTAATGGTCCAGGTGACAGGCTGCATGGCTAAAGATGGAACAAAGTGTTTTGGGATCTGCATTTCACATGGTTCTTGCCTGCATACTCAATATGGCAGCTCCATGGTACCTTGATGTTTATGATCGAATTTTTTTTGAAAGATGCGCTATAGACCAAAGTAATCATTTTGGGGATGTTCTCTGGCATGTATTATAGAGAAGGTGAGACTAGATGACTACCAGAGTTCTTGCTCTCCTTGGCATCTATGAATTGAATGCAGGATTTGCAGGCTGTGGGGCTGGCTCCTTCAGTCTCAAAGCACTTGCTGTCCCTACAAGACCTTTGGATAATTGAGGTGGTACAGAGTAGCTAATTTAAAATCGTGTACACCTCTTTGGCTTGAGGCTGGAGGCAGAGGTGGATATTTACAGAAGTCTTTAATGGTCTTAAATTGCATGGCCATCTGCCAGTAGAGGCTCAGAGCAGAAAAAAAGCCCAACTGTAATTGACACTGTATAATAGTTACATTCTAATGTGACCAGTTAGTCATTTTCTTAGGACAGCCAGATCAGCCAGTTTTTATTGAATCATAAATTATAATCAACGTAATCTCTGCAGGCTTTTGCGTTTGTGTTAAAAATTACCTTTGCTAATGTCTGCTTCCCAAATCATTTTGGTTAGTGAGAAACTCAGTCCACTGTTGTAGCTATGACTGTGTGTGATGATAGTGTAGGCTGTCCCAGACTGAACACTATGTATCTTTGTCCCCTACAGATACTGCAGATGGTGTATCTCAAGAACTCATCTCAGCTGGGCTTGTTGATGGTAGAGATTTAGTAATAGGTAATGGCAAGTGATGCTGTAGTATTTCTCTCTGAATTTGTAGGCTTTCCAGTAATCACCACCGTTAGTTATAAAGCATGTGGAGAATGAACACATCTTTACTGAATTCTTCCGGGGAAGTTCACCCTAGGCCCTGAAATGTGATAGAACGCACTCACTCCAGTGGAATATTTGCTTGAGTGTGCATGTTGGAGCCCTGGAGTTCAGAGAACATGGCCTATTTATGAGACTTGTGAAGAAAAGGTTCCATTGACTATCATTGTAATACAAACTAAAATAAACCGAATCCAGGCAGTGCAGTGGATGCGTTTTGCCTTTCGCTTTTGGAGGCTGTTGGGTAGTGTCCCATTTTGAAAGAGGAGTAGAACCAAGTGCACTACAGAACGTGTAGTATATAGTAGGAGGGTCCAAACAGTGCACAGCTACACCCCAGCTTACTGTAAATGAAGTGTTGCATAGACGAGCCTTAGATCCTCACCTCCCACAAGCATTTCCTAAACTACTTGAACTGCTAATACTGTAACAACAACCTTCATTGCCCAGCACTTCTCTTCAGCTATAGCAAGTCGAATTGCATTCCAGAGGTTTGAAAGGGGTCTCACGCCAGCCTCTCTTTTAGAAGGCAGAAATGCTGCCAGCCAGCAGCTAATCCGATTTGCTGGCACAGGCAGGTGTTTAAGACTACACCTGCATAAACAGAGGTTGCTTTTCAGAATCAAGCTATAATATTTGCACAGTTTAAAGGTGTAGATTAAATATAACTTTTATTTTGCCTAGTGATATGCCTAAAGACTTTGTACATGTACCTGTATTTTTAAAAGTGTTTTAAGCTTGTACACTCTGAAAAGTATTGGAAAAAACAAGTGTCCGATGGATTTGGAATTCACTGTATGTAGACTGTCCTAATATAACCTATGTATGTGATTTCAGTTGCAGCTAATTTGCAGAAAATTGTTGAAGAACCCCAGGCAAACAGATCCGTCACTTTCAAGCTGGTATTTATTTCTGTTCCCTTGTTAAGCAGGTTGCCATTTTTGTAAATACATCCCAGCACTTTGTAACAAACCCTCTTCCTTCCTCCCTCCCAATAAATCAAAATAGTGTGGAGGTTGCTGCGATCTGGACATGAAAATCCCATTTGCCTGGGAAGAGTAGAAGTTTTTGGTTGGGTAAGGGGGCTCACAGGTGCCAGGGGCTCCTTTATGGAGGAGGAGAGGGAGGATCTGGATAACAGGATATTTTTGAGGGGAGGGAGTAGAAGACCAAATGGAGAAGTTAGATGATGGAAGGTGTCCTTGAGCCCAAGGAGTATTGTGAGAGTAATAGAGGAGCCCTGGAAAGAAGTAGCAAAACCCAGAATTGTTTATTGATAGGAGCTTGAAGAGGGACCCTTATAAATTGAGACCTGTCTTGGGATAGGGAGTACCTGCATTTTTTTACCCTAGCTAGTAGGCTGAGCCTTAAAGTTGTTGGTGAAACTTTTTGAGCTCAGTTTTTCATAGCTGAAAAATGCTAATATGTAAACATAGAACACTGCCATCTGGTAAATATAATGCAAAGTTGTCCCGAACCTGCTCCTTCTCCAAACTAGAACTCTCACAGATCAAAATGTAAATAATGGCTAATGAAGTATAGTTGAATTTTTCTTCACATTCTGTTCCCAGGCATCTGGTGTTGAAGGCTCAGATATTCCCGATGATGGCAAACTTATAGGATTTGCACAGCTCAGCATCAGCTAAACGGCAATCCCAGGAGAAGTTTCCGTACTGAAAACCTACATGTGCATATTTCTCCTGCTTCTGTTGGCCTGCAACACAAACAAAAGAAAAACCACTACTGCCAAAGAATTGAACTACAGCCCTCTTCCTAAGGAGCTTTAACGTTTTCTTAAATAGGATCACAAACCTATTTAACTTCTGAAATTACTGATTCCATTTACTGCTTTTGTAAACAACTCTCATATGTTTTTTATATCTTCATCTCACACATGCAGATCCCACACTTCATTGCCGGCACGGTCATTTTATTATTGCCTTACTTTAAAAAAAATACTACTGAGTACGAAACAGGGGTTCCACTTCTCCAATCATCTAGCCTAAATGTTTGCTTCCATGTGGTTTGGTTTGTTTCACTTGCTGTTTTTGCACATGTTTAAATGGCCTTTTTTGTTGTTTTTTTGACTCGTGGACCTGCTTTTAACCTTGCATCTGCAATAGCCAATGGAGATGCGGATTGGTCAGCTGGAGTGCGAGGGAGTCTGGCTTATCTTTAAAACACAATGTAGTTAAATGCTGGCACCCCAGAAAGTGAATCAAGTCTTACCATAGGACGGCTAAAATTTTTCTTCCATGAGATTTGAGAGATTTCTTTAAATTGAGATCTTAGGTGCCAGTCATTTATTCATCTGCTCCTTTACTAAACTGCTAGTAGCTGTTTCCCCTGTCCCTTTGTTTTGCACCAGTGCCACACTTAGCATTAATGCAGATCTTAATTTACCATGATCAGATTATTGCTTCAAGTAGGTCTTTGATTCTACATCCTCAAATGTAGTCCGATCTTAAAGTAGAACTGGGAGGCTTTCCAGAAACTGACCTTTTAGGGGTTTAGGTGATGATCATTTTTACCCAGGAGAGGAAATTCACATTGCTTGGCACTCGGAAAGCCTACACATTAAATTGTTGTTCAGAACAAATCCCTCTGCCCTGCTGAGTCCTTCCTTCTGTGCTTTGCAAACAGGTACATGTGGAACCATCCCTGTTCTGTTTTACAGCAATAAAATGATTGCCTGTGTAGCTGTGTACCAGGCAAGTAAGCTCTGGACTTTGTGTCCATCCTGCACTAACTGCTTGGGTTTTCCAGTATCGTCTCAACCTGAGCATCAAAGTTTGATCAGGATGTCACTGACCATGTAACTCACATTTAGGTTTCGTTAGTATGTGGTGTTTAATTTGAATTTCTACATAAATAATATAAATTATAATTTTAGTTGAGACACTTGTAATGCAATATGTGAATAAAAGTGTTGATTTTTTTCCTACTGTTTCACAGTTCGCCTTTGTATCTGCTATTGGCTTTGAAGTGTTTTATACAATTAAATTGTACACCTGTAATTTAACACAGAAATAAGGAAATCTGTTCTGTTTCCATCCGTTGCATAACCATCCAGAAAGGAGTGTTAAAATGGGACAACTGGGTTCAATTAGGACTTTTTTATTTGAGTCTTGTAATGAACAATATATATTTATATATTTTCTCTATGAACAGCTATGGAAGCTTCCTGAATTTTGCATGGTTTTATACTGCACTTGTTTCTTTAGTCTGTAGTTTAATAAATTCCTACTGGGACTGCCAGTTATGCACAATCTCATCGCTAAATGAGTGCAAAGGGATGTTGAAGTGCTGAGTACGAGTGTACACAAAGAAACCTGAAGCACATGACAATTTTAATATAATGGGATGGGTGAGTACTGATTTAAAATGTGTATGAAAAGTTTTGGCACCTTCTTGTGGTGTGTGACGCAAAGCACACTCATAGCTTATCCTCTGCAGTTGCTTATTGGCTTTGGGAAGAGCTGGTTGTGATCTGCACATTCATGAAGGCCAGTGAGTGATAGCGTCTTTAATTTTTAAATCTTGGACAAAAAATGGAGACCAAATAGTGTTGGTACAGTATTATTGCTCCTTTGCCCGCTTGCCATGCATACCTCACTGTTCATTTGCGCACTGGTGCTGAGAAATGTCAGACTCTAACTGCTCAAGTGAAACAATGCAGTATCTATTTATTAAATGATCCCTGGCCATCCCTACTTCAGAACTAGCAGAGACAGTGAGTTTGCACTGACATTGAGGCTTCTGGGTTTTTTTAATTAAAAAAATAACTAGAGTGTATTTGAGATTAGATCTCTAGACATTTTTGGTAGCTCAAAATTCAAAATTTTGCTTGGGATACTACAATGCTAGGTAACTTTGTTTTTAAGGTTACTTTAAGTGCCAATGCTGTTCATAAAAATATTTTAACATATCATTAATGGATTTGGTTTTTGCTAAATTGTAGTCTGAAACTAGGACCAGGTGGTATTTTTTAATTTAGTTGATACTCTAAGGATAATGCTACATTAATGAACAGGGATTCTCCACAACTTTGTTGTGTTGTAGATTATAATGACAGATGTAAAATATTCTGCCTTTTTTCTTTTGACTTTGTATTTTATTGCATGTATCTCTGATTTTTAATCAATAACGAATAAATTGTCCATGGCCATGTGTTCGGTGACTTTTTGTTTTAAGAGTTGGGTCAGATGTTGCTGGGATATGCGGCTGTCACAGATAACAGAATTTGATACATAACTTTAGAATCTCATATATTCATACTTTGTCACTGAGAGTCAAGATATGTCTACACTGTAATAAATAACCTGCAGCACTGAATTTCAGAGCCTGGCCAGCTGACTTGGGTTTGTGGGGTAAAAATTTCAGTGTAGACATTTAGTCTTGGCTGGAGCTTAGATACTGAGACCTTCCCCTTCCTGGAGGCGCAGAATATGGGCCCCAACCTGAGTCTGAATGTCTATGCTGTAGTTGTAAAGCCTTCCAGCCCAAGCCCCTGGGACCTGAGTCAGCGGCCAGGCACAGCTATGCTGCAGGTAGTCAAAGGGTTGCCAGATGGTTTCAACAAAAATACCGGACACACTTGACATTACATTACAATCTACATTACATTTATATTTTCTTAATCTGTTTCCTGAACAGAGAGCTCAAATACTGGACTGTCCAGTTCAAAACCGGACACCTGGCAACCCTAGGTAGACATACCCTAGTTGGGGATGGGTTGCGAAGAATCAGGAGAGCGCAGGGAGGTTTCACCTCCGCAGAGCTGAAATCTAGCAGGATGTACCGGTGTTCCCACTGACTTCTTCCATCCTTGGGCAGGTTGAATTTTCTTATGTGCCACCACCAATATGGAGGTTGTATGTGGATGTGCAGTGTGTCCCAGTACAAACAAAATTATATATTTTAAACAGTCCATAGGTATGGAAGATAATATATTAAAACAAGGAATAATTAGCAAGGAGCAATGCTTAAGATGTTTAGTATGAAATCAAATAAAACTAATACTACCATTGGAGTACATGTATATCATTCTCTCTAAGAACTCAAGCTTGTAGACACAACAAAATGGCGTATACTGCCAACCGCTATATAAATAAATCAGACATGGACATTAAGTAAAAGTCTAAAAATATGCACAGCTTTAAGATGCTAAACAAATCCTGAGTCAACTAGAAAGAGTCATGCTCTCCTTGCAAATATTAATACAATATTTACTGACACTGGAAAGGAGAGTGAAAAGCATTCACTCAGGCTTATACACTTTCTCTGGGGAATGTTTAGGGTCGATGCTAAACATTTCAAATGAAACAAATCTGTGAAAAGGTAAGTTCTGGTTTGAAACTTTCACCTTGTGTGTGTCACTAACTCAAAGAGAAGCTTCCAGAGCACTTGTCCAGAATTCACACCAATTGAAAGGTCAAACAAAGTAACAGGATACCTGGTAAAGTTCTTCTAGTTGTAACAATTTACCATGTATTAAGTAGTAACACAGGATTTAAAAACCCATTAACATCTGTGTTTGTAGATATCTACAACACACACACATCTCTTAAAAGAATCCTTTTTTACCTTAAGCCAGTAGTCCCCAATGTGGTGCCTGCGGCACCTGCCGGGGCATTTACATGCACCCACCGAATCATCTGGGCTGGGCCAGCCCCGCCACCAGAGCGCAGCACATGTGTGGGGCCGGCCTCAGGCACATGGGCGTCCTCTACCCCGGGCGAGTGGCACATATGCGGTGCTGGCCCTAGGCGCATGGGCGGCCCCGCCCCCAGATGCACGGCATGTGAGTGGCCCTGCCCTCGGGTGCCCAGCAGTGCTGAAAGGTTGGGGACCACTGCTTTAAGCCATTAACACCTATGTAAATTTTTTGAAATGTAATCATGCACATATCATGAGCGAGGCCTTTTGTTCCAATATTCAAAAGCAGCTTAAAAGCTTTTAGCCCACCTGAAATTTTGGCACTATCCCATCCACCACCTGTCCCAAATCAGGAGAGAAACATGTCTGCAGCCCAACCAGGGCTGCTGTGCTGAGACAGTCTGGCCCTTGCTGCCTGCAGTCCATATGGGATCACGTTAAGATACCCCAGTTGTCCTCACCTCACTGCACAGATGCCAACACCACCCCCCAATTTCCTCACCTACCCCCACACACTTTGTGCTCTCTCTTCCAGTCCAGGAAGTTAAGGAGTGTGCTGGGTTTCCTCACAGGAAGCTGCAGGCAAACCCAGCAACTGTAATAAGATCGCTGTAGTCAAACCTCTCCTCTCCAAAACTGCACACTCCATGCTTACTTCCTCCTTGTATCCCTTCCCTACCAGCACACTGGTTGTCTGGAGCAGGGAGCTTCTGTTGCTGAGGGAGTATCCCTCCCCAACCAGGAAGCTCTCTATGCAGCAGCCCTAAACCTCTGGGCAGGGCTCAATTAGCAGCTGTGGGGCCGTCCTGTAGTGCAGCTTACAGGGAATGTAGGGGTGTTTTGGGTTACACCAAAATGTCTGAACTCATGCTTATTACACTAGTGTGTTATAAAAGTGCTGTGTGATGGGACAGAAGAAGTTTTCTTTGTCTTGAAATAGCCAAGAGAATTACAAACTTGGAATTAGGGTACATTATCCAAGTACTCTGTGGATATGGCTAGACTGGTTTTTTCCTGAAGGTATGCAAATTATGCTCGCATACACATTGTTTTACGAGGAATAAGGAGGCTTCCGAAAGAGGGTTTTTTCCGACATTTGGCCCCGTGTAGACGGGCCAAATACCGGAACATCCTCTTCTGGAAAAAGAATGGAAGAAGAGATGCAAATGCGAGCACATTTTGTTTTCCTTCTTCAAAAAACCCCCCACAGCGTAGCCATACCATTAGATGCTTGTATAATAGCACTTGAAAGAACCAGACATTTTTCTGTTTGTCTTAAAATATTGCCAGGCACCCTTCACAATATAGGATCTGATTTAGGAATTGGTGAGAATTTTGCTTCAAACTTTCGGAGAAGCCAAGTGTGCACTAAAATCATTTTATAGAACGCCAGACTGGGGCAATGCTACAAGTCTCTCTTGCAGTATCATACCTCTAGTTAACTCTAACCATATAGCTCATCCTCTTATACCCTCATGGCATGATCCACTTTGTTAGCCGGTGCTTTTGGGTATGTCTACACTTGCACCCTAGTTTGAACTAGGGATGCAAATGCAAGCATTCAAAATGGTCAATGAAGTGGGGATTTAAATATCCCGCGATTCATTAGCATGATCTTGCCGGTGCGTTACTCCGAATGGCAGCTGATTCGAAAGTGAAAGTGTGCAGAGGGTTGTGTTCGAACCAAATCCCTTGGTTCGAACTAACGTTACTTCTCAAAAGGAGTAATGTTAATTCGAACCAAGGGGTTTGGTTCGAACTAACACATCCCGGTGTGCACTTTCACTTTCGAATCAGCTGCCATTCAGAGTAATGCACCGGCGAGATCATGCTAATGAAGCGTGGGATATTTAAATCCCCGCTTCATTGACTATTTCATATGCCTGCATTTGCATCCCTAGTTCGAACTAGGGTGCAAGTGCAGACATACCCTTTGTTGGACTGTTACAACAGGGAGGTGCCTTGTGTTAAACGTTGTCTTGGAATGTGAGGCTGCAAGGAGGGCACCAGTCACAGCAAGTTCTCAATAGAATTCCATGCTAAGTACTTTAAACTCTTTACTGTCACCTGGTTCTGAACCACAGATGTCATCTGTCAGTAGTATAATCGTGACACGGGTTAACTAGTGACAAATTAGTGCTACAAGTGAATGATTGTTGCCCTGCTTCATTATTGCTCCCTATTCTGAAACAGAACAGTTGACTTCCTAGTGTAAACCTAGTTTTTCAAGTGCTCGGCCCCATGATCCCAAGAGGAAACCAATCCTGTTGAAATGTCACATCTTCCTCCTCCTTCCCTGCTTACAGTTTTTTTCCAGGAAGTTTGAGAGTGATCAGAATGGGGTGTTTAAAAAAATAAAACTAATGAAGATTCCTGTCTTTGCCTCTCTGCCATTTTTCCAAACTGCCCAGCTTTGATTGGCTCCTAGAGTTGAAGTGTTGTGGCTTGCATGCTGCAATTTCATTTTCTTGGCCTTGCTGAGAGATGCCTTTGTGTGTTTTGAGGGGCTCTTTTAATATTCCTAGTAAGCTATTGTACGATGGGGTGTAAATATCACATGTTGGGAAGGGAAAGGGTGAACTAGAACCTTTATATAGCAGGGGCTTTGAGGGGAAGGGGAACTGCATATTCATCTAGGCCTCTTCAGTGAGGAGCATATAAATGTTGTCTCAAACCATAGACTTCTGCTGTGGGAACCAGCTAGAACACACTGGTTCCCACATGATCTTCTCAGAGAGCATCTTACCAACTTTCTTATTCAACTTCACGCTGTGGCTTCGGCAGTGTTCCACAGTGCTTGTAGTATTCTGTGTTGGGGCCTTGTTTTGCTAGATACTATCCAGGTGTTGTAGACAATCTTTGCAGCCTAAATAGGCAACTTGGACCGATGGATGGCGAGGAAATGCACAGGATCACCCAGCAGGCCAGTTGTAGAGCTATGAATAGAACCCTGCTCTCTGATTCCCAAATCCAGGTCACCTGAGACCATGCAACCTTCCTGTCATGCCTGCAACATGCTAATCTTTCCATGGAGGCGATCATGAGCAATTACCATGGCAGGAACAATCCCTTCTCCCTCCTCCCCATGACGATCAATGTAGGACTGGAAAGGGATCCAGCTTCTGTGCTGCAGCAGGACCAGGTAAACCTAGAATATCACTGGTAAGTGTTTGTCCAACTTGTTTACATAAACTTCCAATGGTGGGGATTCCAAAGCTTCCATGGGAAGCCTGTTCTAGTGCTTAGCTACCCTTAGAGTTGAACAGTTTCTCTAATACCAAACCTCAATGTCCCTGGCTGTAGAGTAGGCCCATTACTCCTTGTGACTGATCTGCAGCCTCTTCATGAGAGCCCTTAAAATGTTCTCAGGGCCACCTCAGTTTTCGTTTCTCAAGAGTTAACATGCCTAGTTTTTAAACCATTCTTCACGTCAGGTTAGCTTTGAGGGTAATGAATAAACTCATTTGTACTAGGCCAAAAACATTAACATGGTGAACAGAATTTTGTGGGGCTG